CCACAGTCGATGGCGCCGACAATGACCTCCGGAAAGCCCTCGCAATCGCTCGGCACAGGGCCACGGTTGAGTGCTCTCGAGCCCTACACCGGAGCATCACGAGCCGGTGTGAGCTTGAAGACCCGAGATAAGTGCGGTTCGGGACAGCTTGGGCTTGCTACTGACGACGTCGAACCGCACGATCGAGAAAAACCGTGAGCTCCCTGTGGCCCTGGATGTGAGGTTACCCGACGACTGCACTCTCCAATTGGGCCAGGTACCAATTTTGTCGAATTTATTTCAAAATCTGCAGGCGCGGAGCGCCTGCGAAAATTTTGAAGAAATTTGCAGTCGGGCCTGATTTTCATCAAGATCTTTCAAATTTGCGGTGTGGAGTTGGGGGGTGGGTTAGGTTAGGGTTATTAGGGTTAGAGGGTTAGGGTTAGGGTTAGGGTTAGGGTTGGGTCAGGTCTGGTTTTGTCTGTATATGCCAGCGTTGCAGGGTTCTGCGCTGGGATCTGGCCCCACAGCGCCGACGACTAAGACTCAGCCCCACACGCTGACCTAGGGTTAGGGTTAGGGTTAGGGTTAGGGTTAGGGTTAGGGTTAGGGTTAGTCTTCTTGTGTTTGTATGCCAGCGTTGCAGAGTTCTGCGCTGGGATCTGGCCCCAGCGCCGACGAGTAAGACTCAGCACCGCACGCTGACCCCACCAAATGCCGCCTCAGGGCGCCAGGCCGCCAGCCACTTCTTACACGCGGCCGGCGCCCTCTCGCGGCAAAAGGGTCGAGCGAGCGGGCAGAGTCGCGATGTCTGCGCACCCGCGTGCCGATGGGCGGCACACGCAACCGAGAGAGGCCCTGTCGCGCCGCCAGTAGCGTTCTCCGCAGTCCCCACGCCACCAATTGCCGCCTCAGGGCGCCAGCCACTTCTTACACGCGGCCGGCGCCCTCTCGCGGCAAAAGGGTCGAGCGAGCGGGCAGAGTCGCGCGATGTCTGCGCACCCGCGTGCCGATGGGCGGCACACGCAACCGAGAGAGGCCCTGTCACGCCGCCAGTAGCGTTCCGCACTCCCCACGCCACCAATTGCCGCCTCAGGGCGCCAGCCACCTCTTACACGCGGCCGGCGCCCTCTCGCGGCAAAAGGGTCGAGCGAGCGGGCAGAGTCGCGCGATGTCTGCGCACCCGCGTGCCGATGGGCGGCACACGCAACCGAGAGAGGCCCTGTCACGCCGCCAGTAGCGTTCTCCGCACTCCCCACGCCACCAATTGCCGCCTCAGGGCGCCAGCCACCTCCTTACACGATTACACGCGGCCGGCGCCCTCTCGCGGCAAAAGGGTCGAGCGAGCGGGCAGAGTCGCGCGATGTCTGCGCACCCGCGTGCCGATGGGCGGCACACGCAACCGAGAGAGGCCCTGTCACGCCGCCAGTAGCGTTCCGCACTCCCCACGCCACCAATTGCCGCCTCAGGGCGCCAGCCACCTCTTACACGCGGCCGGCGCCCTCTCGCGGCAAAAGGGTCGAGCGAGCGGGCAGAGTCGCGATGTCCCTGCGCACCTGGGTGTTCGCCGCCTATATGCTCTATCCTGTGCCAAGACGGACACATTTTGACAATCAAAATCTACCTCAAAATTTGCGGCCGCCCCTCGAAATTTGCTGATCAAAATTTGCGGTGGCCCGGATCGAAACCTGTACTTTGGCCAACGTCTCCTACCAAGTGCTCCAAATTTTTGGGCCTCGTTTTAGCAATATACTTATGGTCGGAATACTGCGAAAATACGGGCAGAATACAGCCCTTTTGGCTTTTGGCTTTGGAGGTCGCAGGTCGCGGTTTGGAATACGTGGTACCTATGTTACGTATTGAAGAGATTCAGACAGTAGCGAGTAGGGTCGCAAGGCAAGGCGCGAGAACGGAACACGCACGGCTCCCGCTGTTACCGGCACTCCGTCCTCACTGGCAGAGCCACGCGACGGCATTTACGATTTACTAGCGTGTGAGAGCAGCGCTCAGCCCATGTTCGAATATGGATTCTTGCTGCCAAGCGACGCTCTCGCCGCGCGGCTCCTCGCCTGCTCCAGCTCCTTGGCGCGCGCCTGCTGCCAGAACCGTAGCCGCGGCGCGGGCCGGTACACGCGGCCGCGGTGCGGCGAGCTCTCGTGCCCGCCGAAGAGCCGGGGCAGCTCGGGGTGGCGCGGCTCGGATAGGCCCGCGTCGTGCCTCACTGCGTCCTCGCTCAGGTAGAGCGGCGCGGGCAGCGCGTCGCGGTTGTTGACCGCCGAGGCGGAGAGCTCGCTCGGCCAGCGCCAGCGCCAGAGGCCGGACGCCGCCGCCGCCTCGTCCTCCATCCCCTCGAGGGAGGGAAGCACGGTGTAGAACGGCTGGCAGCTCCACGCCTTGAGCTCGCTCTCCTCCGTCTCGTCGGCGGGGTACCCTAGCGCGCAGCCGCGCTCGAGGCAGCCCGCCGCGCGCACCCAGCCCGCGCCCTTGGAGCACTGCAGGTCGACGTCGATGACGACGCCGCGGAGGCCCTCGCGGTGGCTGTGCTCGACCGCCTGCCCGACGACAAACTTGGGCAGCCCCAGGTTCGTCTTGACGGCGTCGAGATCCTGCTGGAAGATGGCAGCCAGCTCGTAGTTGCCGTCCTCCAGCGCCTCGGCGAGCCGCTCCTCGCGCGGGATGATCGGATGCTGCGAGCGCAGCCGCTCGACGCGGGTCTGCAGCCCGCCCGCCTCGGCGTAGTCCTCCGCCTCGACGGCGGCACTCAGCAGAAATTCGCACTGCTCAATCTCGATCTCCTGCTGCCGCAGCTTGAAGTGCGCCTTGGCCCACGGACTGACCCACGCCGCATCGCCGATGGGCTTCTTGTGGTCCCAGTCATCGCCGTACCAGTCCGACAGGCGGAACAGTCGCGCAGGCGCCTTCATCGTGGCCGGAGAAGACCGCGAACCGCATGGCGGCGGCGGGAGCGGGCTGCTCATCGCCAGGAGCAGCAACATGTTGTGGCGTCTGGTGGGGCGAGGGGGCGGGCAGGGTGGTGGAGGAGGGCTGTGGTGGGACCGCGCTCCCCGTCTGTGGCGATTCCCTGTGTGTGCGAAACCACCGGCACACCTCCCGCACGAACAACGGGAAAAATCCCACACACGAACACTCACCTCTTGCACGAACAGGTTCCCAGAGCCAGACGCAGGAACGGCACTGGCCAAAACACACCCACACCTGACGCACGAACAGGTACGAACAGCCGGACGAAGGAACGGCAGCCGACACACCCAGCCGGGGCAAGACAAAAGGCCGCCGAGGGGAAAGGGAGTTCGCAACTAAACGGCCGAAGCGGGTATCACTCCAGTTCACGCCCGCCGACCCCGATGCACCTTATTACCCGAACCCCCTACCTGGAACCTGCAAGCCCACCGAGAGGGGTAGGGGTCAGCCTTGTTCAATTAAACACGAGTTCCACCGTAGCGCCGCATAACTCTAAGCGCGCGTGTGAGCGAGGGCAGAAATGCAACGCTCACGCGGTCCCGGGCTCGGTCCTCCCACATTCTCTAAATGATGAGTCTCGCTCTCCCTTATTATACAATAAGGGGCCTCTGCGAAATAAAAAGCGGAGGCCTCAGTGGGAGCGAACTCTGACGGAAAGGGAGGTTCCCCGTGTTTGTTTGTGTGCGAAACCAGGTTCGTTGTGAAGAGCTGGGGCGCGCCACCCAAGAGCCTAGGTAGGTGCGGATCGGCAAGAGCGCATGGAGGGCTGAAAATGACGCGGCGACGAGAATGTGGGAGTGGTTCGGTGGGGACCCTGTCCTCCTCCCATCCCTCGGCCTCGGTGGTCTGTTTTCTTTGTTTTCGACGACAGGAGAACTACATGTACCAAGCGTAGAGGGCGAGGCCGCCAAAAAGCGACCGCCCAGGCAGTGTCGCTCAAATTTTCTTTCTTTTGTAAAATTCTTAACAAGCGAGCGGCTGTGCGCCCGCCGCCTTGGTCGAGAATTCAGCCTCAGCCAACGCGGTCCGTGAACGTGTTCTCGGCCACTGTGACCAAACGGCCGGGCGCGCATCGCGCCACTGTGACCAAAGGCCGGGCGCGCATCGCGTCACTGTGGGCGCGGATCGCGCCGGGCGTGCAGCGATATGCCGGACGGGGGAGGGGAGGAGGAGCCCTTATCGGCGCACCGGGCGAGTTCAGTGGGGATGACGGACCGCTGCGCGCCGCCGTCTCCGAGCGCGACGCCAAAGCGTGGCGCGCTGAAAGCGGGCCATGCTGGGCGCGAGTTGAGCAGTGCTGAGAGTTCGCCTGACTCGGAGGCACTTGGCACAACCCGCCTGACTCGGAAACTGAGCTGGCGGACCAACAGTGACGGTCTGGACCTGCTCATGGTCCACCCGATCCACGACACACACTACCCGCCTAGCAGCGGGTGGGGGAGGACGCACCGCTCGGCGGTGGTGCTACTACTCATCATCTGCACTGGGGGCGCCACGCTGCTAGTCATACGGCTGGTCGCCTCGCCATTCCTCGAAGCGAACTCGCAGCATTCACACCATCGCGGCTGATGCACAGTCCTGGTGCGCAGTCGTCTGCAAGAGAGTCGACGGAGAGGCGCCGCACTCTCAGCTCCGCTGTCGTCCTCCCGATCTCGTTTATTTACAAATCCACAACGTTAACATCTTCTCTATACGGCTTTAAATGTGCTCGGAGCTCGCTTGTGGTGTAGGTCTTTATTGGAGATTGCTCATGGATCGTGCCACGTGCGTCCTCCCGTCGGTCGCCCTTACCGGCCGCCGCTCTAGCCGCCGCTCAAGCGCCGCCGCCGCCCCGGCGCGCGGCGCCGTGCTAGACCAGCGGTAGACGAGTCTACCGCGGTCTACCAAGTCTACCGGTAGACTGGTGTCGTAGGTTCATTACGGTCTACCGGTAGACTGCGGTAGACTCGTCTACCAAATGGTATACCGTCTACCCCCGTCTACCCCTGTCTACCGCCTACCGGTAGACGGTAGGCGGGCCACCCCTCAGGCCCGACCGCTACGCGCTGCCGCACGCCATCCTCCGCCTCGACCTCGCCGGCCGCGACCTGACCGACTGGATGGTCAAGCTGCTGACCGAGCGCGGCTACTCCTTCACCACCACCGCCGAGCGCGAGATCGTGCGCGACATCAAGGAGAAGCTGGCGTACGTGGCGCTCGACTTTGACCAAGAGATGCACCCAAGGGAAAGCTCAAGGAGCTGGATGGCGATTACCGCTTTGCGCGGGAGCAGGATTGCGATCTACGTTTGTTTGATTTTGAGGCTTTCGGAGGCTTTCACTGTGTGCTCTAAGTGCCTGAAAACTTGATTAATTCATTTCCGGCCCCCCACGCGCCTGTGCACACGCCCGCAAGCACGGGGACCCGTCCAGGACACATAGGGGGGCACTTGGGGTCACCCTAGAGCCTCTAGGAACACTACAGTACACCTACACCACCATGCCTCTACCTCTGCAGCGCGGCTGCTGCGCCGCGTCTCACGCTCCCTCCGTCCCCGCCGCCGCCACCGCCCCTTCACGAGCCGCAACCGCCTCGTCGTACGCGGCGTGCAGCTCCTCGACGGCTCGGTCCGCGCTCGCGTACTTGAGCTCCGCCTTGATGCGCATCGTCTCGCGCCCCGCCGCCGTCTTGACCTTCTCGCGCAGCCCCTTTGCGGCCGAGCGCCGCCTCAGCCGCTCGGCGTCGATGTGCTCGCGCATGAGCTCCAAGTTCATCGCCTGGTGTGCAATGCCGTGCGCGTTCTCGCGCTGGTACGTGCGCTCGCCGTAGCCGATGGTGACCGCCTCGCCCGTCTCCTCGTCGGTCGCGCCCTTGATGGCCCGCCGCCGCACGTAGGACTGGGTGCGCTTGCCGGCCGCGTCGCTGCCGCCGTGGAAGATCGTCGTCTTCTGCCGCTTGGAGAGCTGGTTGCCCTTCTCGTTGACGGAGTCGTCGCCGTTGAAGGGGTGGCCGGTCGCGATGATGATGCGTTTTTGACGAGAGATAGCCCAAAAATGACCCGCGACTTAGAGCACACAGTGGGAAAGGAGGTTCGCAGCACCCTGAGGGAGGCGGCGAACCAGCTGAGCAACAAACTTTCGCACGCTCAGCACCTGGACGAGGTCACATGGACCACCAAGAACTGGCACGGGCTGCAGATGCAGCGCTTGTCTGTCGTCCTCCACACCGCCGTGGCGTGTGGCAGACGGTGAACGAGCTAGCGTGCGGGGAGAGCGGCATTGTGCACGGTGCGGAATGCATAGATTGCCGTTCTTAACGGAGTCGCTTAGGCGGCTCCGGTGGTGAGCCGGTGTGTGTGCCAGTCCGCGCCAGTCCGCGCCCTTGTCGTGCCAGTGTGCTGTGAGAGAGGCTTGTGTTTTAAGAATTCTTTGTGGGTGTGGTCGGCGACTCTAGCCGGGGTCGTCCTCCCGATATGGGGGACTAGCACTAGCCGTCTTCCACATGCTTGTCACATGGTCCCAGCATGGTCCCTCGGGTCCCTGCTGCTCCTAATCTCTTCGTACATCCTCCTGCTGATCTCCGCAAAGTCCTGCTCCCTCCCTCGTCTCGCCCTGCACGTCTGCTCCGCCTCACCGTCTTCTGCCCTGCGTACACAACGCTCTAGAGCTGTTTAACATTAACTTTAGGCCTAACAGTTGCGCTAGTGTTGGCTGAAAATCCTGAACGTTGTTCAAGTGTTCACCCCAGCCCATGCTGTTACTGTTTGTTACTGTTGTTACTGTTGTTCAGCGGCCAGCAAGCAGAAAACGGCAAAAAACCCGGGTAAAACCCGAAAATACCTGGGTTTTCCCGGGTATTTTCGGGTATTACCCGCACTGGACGCTGGAGATCGTCGTGGGTCACTGCCAGGCCTTCCTTATTGTTGTTCAGCCGGCCTAACGTTAGCTACTGTTGTTGGGGAGCCCCACTGTTGTTCTGTTGTTACTGTTAACACTAGCAACACACTGTTCAGCTCCCAACGTTAAACAGCTCTACACACAACGCGCCGGCGGCACTCGAGCGTCCGCGTCTCGCCGTCTCCCCGCGCACACACAACGCACACGCCCAGCCAGAGCTCAAGTGCCAGCTCGCCCAGGAGCCACGCGCGTCGCACCCTCCCACACTCTCTCAGTGCGGCACCAGATATTAGGTATTAGCGCGCACCCCAGTCCCCACACACACGGCCCAAGGCCGGAGAAGGCGCCACGCTCACACAGTGATCAGTGTGTTTCAGTGTGAGTGTGTGTGTGACAGTGTGACGTGTTTGAGCAGTGTGGTCTCCTCGCCCCACAGCGCACAGGCACAGGCCACAGCCACGCACCGCCACACCGCTATGTCTGGGAGGGAGGGGGTGGGGTGCAGAGGTTGCTCACCCACGGCACCGGGCCGGTGCTTGCACTTTGAATGCCATGGGGCTCCTGCCCGTGTCCGGGTGTGGAGATGCGAGGGTCGCCCCCCCCTTGCCCCACCACTTTGTGGTGTGTGGAGACGTTTACCCCTTACCTTACCTTACGGTACCTTACCACACCGCCACAGCGCCACACGCACACTCGGGCCGCCATCCGGATCCACCAAGCGCGCCCCACCGCGGCAATGTCAATAATTATGGATAATGGAAGATTGGAACATGCGCAAAATACATGCACATGCACATGTCATCGGTGTTCGCTTGGCGCCTTGGCCTCTCCGTAAGCGCTTTGCCGTGTCCTCAAAACCGCATGAGCTACCCCTCCCCACGCTTCTCCATCGCTGCCGGCGGCGTCGCGAGCTCCCGCTGCCGCTCCTCCAGGTAGTCGGCAAGCTCCTCGAACCCCTCGGCGCGCGCCATGCGCGCGGGCGTGTTTCCGTCGCCGTCGGCGCGCAAGTGCTGCTCGCCCAGCCCTCCCCCCTCCGGGGAGAGGAGCCACTCGCAGACGGCGCGCCGCCCTTTGATCGCCGCCTTGTGCGAGGCAAGGTAAGGTAGACTTCTCCACATACATGAGGTGGTGGGGCAAGGGCCAGGGCAGCCCTCGCGACTCCACGTCTAGACAGACAGGGGCTGGCACGGCATTCAACGTGCAAGGCCCGGTGCGCGTGGGTGAGCGGTGTATGTGCGTGCATGTGTGCGTGCGTGCGTGCGTGCGCGCGCGATGTGGGATGTGGTCGCCGCCTTGTGGACGGCGCTGTGCCCATTGCAGTTGCGGAGCGAGACGTCGCACCCGGCGCTCTGAAGCCAACGGCACATGGCGACGTCCTGGCCATCCGACTGCCGCAAGCGGAATGGCAGAGGCGGGCGTGAGGACCGGGAGTACAGATCCATCTCTCCCCATCTCTCGGATCTAGATGCGGAATGCAGGTCCACATCTCCCCATATCTCCCCACATCTCCCCATATCTCGGATCCTAGGTGCAGATCCTAGGTGCATAGTGCAGGTCCACATCTCCCCCCTCTCAGGTCTGGCAAGGCCACTCGCCGCGCGGCCGCGCGGCTGCTGCCAGGCGGGTAGCCGTGTGCAGCCGTGCCCCTCATGCGGAGCGGTGCGCCACAAGCAGATGCCTCCTCGGCCAATCTCGGGCGATCTCGGAGGTTGCCTGCGCCGCCCACTGCACCGCGTTGCAGCCGTAGGAGTTGCGAGCGTTCGGGTCGGCGAGGCCGCCTTCGACAAGCCTGCGTCATGAGTGCACCGAGGTGGGGGTGGGGTGCGAGTACGATGATCACCGCGGAGTACGGTCGTGCATGCATGCGGCGGAGGCATGCGGCGGAGGGCGTGTCCTCTCGAGCGCTACTAGG